TCTCCCACCAAAGGAATATAAATTCTTGACTGGCCCTAACAATTTAGTGCCTGTTACCTATTGTATTACTTCTGAAACCTTGGAATACTATTGCACATCCATTGAGCTTGATTTTTATCACAGTAACAATCAGAAATGCTGCACCACAAATACATGATGTGATCAATATATGATCAAAAGGAATGTACCAACCTAATGTTTAAACTGTGAACTACCTTCAACTAATATTTCTCATGGTATCTGAGAGATATGTATGTGTTTCCCTTGACATTTTAAAATATCTTGCAATGCTCCAGGGCATCTTCATGCCCGTTTTGGGAGATGTGAAGTTAAGCTGTAGAATCTTATCTGAATCCTGTCTTAAGTCCTACTGTTTCTCCTTTCTGCTTTTAGAAGTTTCACATGCAACAAAATTAATGGGTTCCAATTGCAGAAGTTCAATGTATAGATATCATTATAGATTTTTTCATGGTCATTCTGTGACAGGTAACTATTTTTGTTTGAATACAGTTATTCTGACACTAAGATATTATCAGCTTCTGTGGTACCCACCTACTTTACTTTCCAACATTAAATGTTTAACTCCTTGTGTATTAAATATAGCCTTGATCCTCCTTATTTGACGATTCTTTATTTGAGAATTTGCCTACTCACCAAAGTTTCTCTGTAATCCCTAAATTAATATTTTTGTAGTAATTCACAGACGTGTGTGTGCACAATGTGGCAAAAACTTTTGAGTCACTCAACATGCAAATTTCCAGCTGAAGTCAAACAGTACAATCTTCTGCTTTCTTATTTCAACTCTTATACTATAAATAAGAATCCTTTTTGCAGTCTGTTTAGTGCCACACTTTTCATTTTTGTGCTTTGGGTTATTTCTCTGCTTAAAATGGCTTCCAAGTATAGTGCTGAGGTGTTGTTTAGAATTTCGACATGCAAGAAGGTTATGTTGCACCTTCCAGAGAAAATGCATTAGATAAGCTTCTTTCAGGCCTGAGTAATAGTGTGATTGGCTGTCCCTGGGCTCAGATGGTAAAGATCTGCCTGTAATGCAGAAGACCTGGGTTCAATCGCTGGGTCAGGAATATCCCCTGGAGAAGAGCATGGCAACCCACTCTACTATTCTCATCTGGAGAATCCCATGGACAGAGGAGCCTGGTGGGCTGCAGTACACAGGGTCGCAAAGAGTCGGACATGACTGAGTGATTACACTGTCTTTCTTTCTTTTTCATTCTTTTGGCTGTGAGTTTGATGTATATGTATCAATAATATACATTAAATAAAATGTCTTTAAACAAAAACACACATTAAACAAGCTAATATATTGATCAGTTGATGAAAATGTGACCAGAGGCTCACAGGAACCTAACCTTAAATTTCCCCTAGGAGCAATGATTCCATATTCCTTAATTCAGGGTTCATTGAAGGCAACTACTGAAAATAATGAAAATCAAATAAATTCTGGTGAGCCATATTTGCCTATTCATTTTTTAAACTACTATGTTAAGGTAATCAGAAAATTCCTGTGTAGCTAATAGATCACCAAGGACAAGCTTCAGCAAGAAGCAAACAAAAAAGTTGTATGAAAGAGAAGCAGAGTTGACCTGCTCCCAAAGAGAAGTAAGAGCCTGAAAGGTGAGATTGAAATACCAGAAGGACAAGCTTTGTTTGCTTCTGAGGGTTGCCTTGAGCTGGCCTGGGGCGCCTACATACTAACATCACCATTAAATATGTATTGATTGCTGAAAGGCAAGGTGATGGGGAATCTGACCTTTCAAGGTCCTTTCTGCATTTATTTTTGGGAAAAATAATTCTTATTTTTCCAAAGCATAATCAGCACTTTGACAGAGAAGAAGGCATGGCCAGTTTAGCTGGGAAAGAGCTTCACTTGTCTTACCGTCTTTCACCTGATTCAGTGCAATGGTGTTTTTAAATCAGATTTAACTATCATACATAGAAAGCAAACCAAGAATTTAAGTATAAAATGAAGCCATTTTGGTGCTGAATGGAGAAAGACTTTTAAAATAACAATTTGTACATACCGTACATTTCTCCCTTTCTGTTTTAAGTGGTGTGAAATCCATCTGATCAAATCACTTGAAATGTCAAGATGGAGGAATGACACTTTATGTAACAAAGATATGGCATTTTTACCTAAATTATGTTTTTTTACAGCTCATGAATGAATAAGCAAATGATGGCTATAAATTTGCTCAGCCTCCCAGATGAATAGTTGTCACAAAAATGTGATGGCTAACAAAGCAGAAAAATGGCAAAAAAGGGAATATGTCTTGAGAATTATAGTGGAATTTAGTGCCAAATGCTTTGAAAACATAACTCTCATGGTCTATTATTTCACAAGTTAGAATACAATGGGAAAAATACAGGTTTAAAAGCCTATTTAAAAGCCTTTCTCCTCTAATTCTCATACTTTTCCCTCTGCCACCTTTCTATCTCCAGAGGTATCTGTTTCTCTTACTCCCTAACACACATTGTATTTTTTTAAATATTTACTTTTATTTATCTATTTGTTGGCTGTGCTGGGTCTTAATTGCAGCATGGGGAATCTAGTTCTCTGACCAGAGATTAAACTCGGGGTCTCCTGCATCAGGAGACTAGAGTCAGGGAAGTCCATCACACATAGTATTAAGCACTGTACCAAACAACGCATCACAATGAAGGGGAAAAATGCAGCTTTTGCTTTCCAAAATTTCAGCCTGAAGAAGGTAGTTGCTGTCATCTGGTAGCTAATTTGTGTCCAACTCTTGTGACACCATGGACTGTATCCCTCCAGACTCCTCTGTCCATGGAATCTCCCAGGCAAAATACTGAAGTGGCTGCCACTTTCCTTCTTCAGTGGCTAAGTCGTGTCCAACTCTTTTGTGACCCCATGGATTGCAGCCCAACAGGCCTCTCTGTCCATGGGATCTCCCAGACAAAAATACTGGAGTAGGTTGCCATTTCCTTCTCCAGGGAGTCTTCCCAACACAGGGATCAAACTCATGTCTCCTGCCAATGCAAGTGGTTCTTTACCACTGAGCCACCAGGGAAGTCCCTAAAGAAAGTAATAAACCTCAAAAGAAATAGTGTAAAGATCACAATCACAGCAGAAAGATTTATAGGTAGTTAAAGAACAGAATCAGTATTTTTGAGGGAGAAAATTTAGGGAAAGAAGATTTTAGCCAGGTCTTGAAAGACAGTAAGAGTTTGACAGATCTAAAATAGGAAAGTTGGAAGAACAGGAAATACATCTGACTGTCTTGTTCAAAATTGAATTCCACATTGTTATATATATTTAGTACTGTCTACTACAACTTACACAATTCTCTGAACACTTTGAATTAATCATTGAATTATTATGAAAGAGAGACGTATTTAACATGGAAAATCAAGTTGCTTAAAGATGAGAAGAAAAGAAGATGCTATCGTTGCTCCCCAGCAAAGAAGGTAGCTGAATGTTTCAGGAGAATCATTAATGTCCATAAAGAAGGAAGAGAGACTCTTTCTGGTGATGTTCTACTCTGCCTGCTCAGATCACCTTGGAAGCATCATGCTGTGTCCTGGATACCACAGTCAAAGAGGATACACATAGGTTTAATGACTTCATGATTTCGAAGATACCCAAATTTGGAGGAGAATTAATGCCATATATGAACTCCTTAAAGGTGTGTACTGTCCAGAGAGACCAATAAATCACAGATACTTCTTGAAGTATTGAGGGATTGCACACAGAAAATAAATTGATTGAAAATAAATTAATTGTTACTGTTTTGCTGTGTTTGAGGGGATGTTGGTTTAGATGCTCAGTGGTCACCCCGAGAGAAAGTTTTTCAAGATGCACTCAGTGATTAACTTATAGTTCATTGAGCAACCCCAGAGACAACAATGAAGGTTGAGGATGGAGATATAGTCTAGGGCTGCCTCATCCAAAATGGTAGCTGCAGATACATGGGGATATTGAGAACTTTAAATGCAGCTGGTGCCACATGTTGAAATGCTACCTTTGGATATTGATTGGAGTAAATAAAAGATGTTCTTACAACTAATTTCGTCTTTTTTTTTTTTTGCCTTATCAACATACCTAGCAAAAACTGAAATTGTAAATGTGGCTCACATATATTTCCATAGGATAGCAAGATGAGCACTGCAGACTCATCATCTCTGCCTCAATCCTAATAGCCACAAACATATCTGTGTCATCAACCTAAGTTTATTTTATGAAAGAGTTCTGTGGCTAAGAAAAGCATTTGGAACCTACTATACTGAACTGTCAATAAGGCAAGGAGAAAAAATTCTCAACTTATGATGGAATATTACACAGTTGTTCAATAGAATAAGGTAAGCTATCGTCTTCACAGAGATAGACAAAGGCACACTGTGGGCAAACAAAGCAAGTTGTAAGTAACACTTAACTGAGTTTTTGAAATCTGTTATATTATGTTTTCTCATGTGTGTCTAATCATTTTAGGCAAATGGTTTGGAAGACTCACAGCTATCCAAAATCAGAAGACTGAGGGATGGGAAGATAGTAGGAAAGGTGATAGGAGAGGTTTGCTGAAAGATTATTTAGCCTTATTTATATCTTAATGATCTGTTACATTATTGCATTATCATTATTATTATCATTATCATGATTACTAATACTACTAAGCTGGGTGATCTTCATTTTCTTCCATCACATGGCTTTCTGTTTATAATGGGAAATGGTGTTAGCAAAGGGGAATGGCAAGGGCACCCCTAAGTGGGTATCAAATTAAGGTAATAATGTGTGGAAGAAGCAGGCAGGACATCACCCTTCAGGACATTCAGTGCTGATCTAGACTTGTTGGGATCACTAATCCCTTTATAAGTAAAAAGTCCCCCTTATCTGACTAAATGAGGATCTAAACAGCTTACTAAGTTAAACTAAATAATCAAGGGGGAAAAAGTACAAAGAGTAAATTATTTGGGGACCCTACTGGACACTCCAATCAACTCCAAGCTACAGAGACCTCACATACCCTGATCATCAGCACAGCCTTTCTGATGTCCCGAACGCCGTCGTATACCAGGCGAGAGGCATCGATGAACTCGTTCTCCTCAAATGGCTGAGGGACGTTGGCACTCAGGGCTTCAATGGCAACCTCCACTTGTTCAGCAAAGCGTGGCATCACTGGTATAAACAAAGTGAAAAGCAGTGGATTAGGCAGTCTTTCTTTCATGCTTCCTTGTTTCTCTTAGGGAAGGTGGCAGGTTGCATTCCAACATTCAAATGGAGCCTGGTGTCCACCTGTCCGGTAGGGGATAGACCCAATTTAGTGATCTTTGCAACACTTACCTTCAGTAGGAGCAGGAAATCATTACTCTATGAAAGGTGATGGTCTGCAAAAGAGCAAGTTTGTGAAACCTGCCCAAGTTAGTGTGGTATACTGTATGTGAGTCCAGGTTTCATGTTATCCTAAGTTGAGTTTCACTTCTGCTAACTCCTAGCTGTGAAACCTTGACCATGCTTTCTTGCTGCTGCTGCTTTTACTCACTAAGTCGTGTCCGACTCTATGAACTGTAGCCCACCAGGCTCTTCTGTCTATGGGATTTCCCAGGCAAGAATACTGGAGTGGATTGCCATTTCCTTCCTGACCCAGGAATCAAACACTTTTCTCCTGCTTGGCAGGTGGATTCTTTACCACTGAGGCACCTAGAAAACCTACTATCTTTTCTTAAACCTTGTAAATCTGTTTCTTTGTCTATAAAGTATAATAGTAAATCCTACCTTGGGGTTCAGAGAGGTAACGCATACAAATGCACTGGATAGCACCTGTCCTTAAAAAGCCTCAATAAATATGCAACTAATATCAGACGCTAAAGTCACAGCTGATTGAGTAGCAGACTTAATCTACATCACTGCATAGTAAAATATGAACAAAATGATCTAATCCCTTCCACTTCTTTCTGGAATGCAGGTCTTGAGATTTTGAAGGTGGGGAAAAGGTTGTGGAGGGAGACTTGTGGAAAGACTGTCTAAGAAGGGAGAGAGAAATCCCAGGAAGACTACAGAAAGAGACCAATGGACTCAAAAATAAATTTGATTCTGTTCCATTTTACCAGGACCTTGTTGATATGCCAGAGGATACATATGAACGTTTTAAAATGCAGGCACCTCTTTCCTTAAATGAGGACACCTGCATACAAACTGGAAGTTTGTAGAAAGTACACTTAGTGGCTACTTAAGAAATGCTGCTGATTCACTTATCCCTGAAAGTTATAACTCAATTTTTTCAACTGTTATCTTGTAAAAATCAATCACATGGCAAATGAAAGCCAGAAGCACAATTTATTTTATTTATAAGGACAATAAAGTAGAAACACCATTCATCTCTTTCTATTTCTGAACTCATTTCATGAACTCATCATGATGCTCATTTTCATCCTCAGTTCAGTTCAGTCATTCAGTCGTGTCTGACATTTTGTGACCCCATGAACCACAGCACGCCAGGCCTCCCTGGCCATCACCAACTCCTGGAGTCCACCCAAACCCATGTCCACTGTGTCGGTGATGCCATCCAGCCATTTTCATCCTCACTGTATATTTTAACATCCATTTTAATCCCTAGCATGAGAAACCTTGCTTGATTACTTTACTCTCAAGGGTTATTCAAGATAAAACACTCCTTAAAAATTGTATTTCTACTAGGAAAAGTCAAACATTATTTTTAAAAGAGGACTGTTAGAAGAAAACACAGTAACCACTCTTTCAATGGAAACTATCAAAACCAAAGCATTGCAAGGGGTAAATTTTCTCTGTGAGTAAATTACTATAGTTGGTTCTGTATACTATTTGAATTGTTCACTTGGGCCTTTGAACTGCTTTTATATGAAAGGAACTAGGAGATATTGACCTGAATTGCTGCAAAATATGATTCAAATGAAAATATATTTCTAAAAACTACCACATTAAGCTAAAACCATTTCAGTTATCCATTTGTGTTGGTAATTAACTGTTTTACATGATTAACTAATCTAGATCATTGAGACTGACCTTTTTAAGCATGAAAACATTTTTGTATGTATCTATCATTTTCATATGAGTGTCTTCCTTAAATTAAAATAAAAAATTCCTTTCTTTTCTTAAACCAAATTTCAAATAATATTAATCCTATCTGATATCAAAGCTGACATCATGGCCATCAACAATTTACCAGATGTGTATGATAGCATCAGTAGCATTTATATGCACAAATCTTTGTCCCTTTTTTTATAACTGATCAATGATTGGTATTCCCACATGTATGTAAGATAAATACTCTTACAAATCAATAAGAAAAAAAATTAAAAATAGATAAATGATTAGAAAATGCACTTCACAGAAAGGAAATCCCGTATTATTGATAAACACATAAGATGCTTGACTTCACTAATAATTGGAAAAAGTACAATGTAAACAATGAGATATTTCATACTTATTGGTGGATGGGAAAACAAATTAAGGCTTACAATATACATCTTATTGAGCATGTGAAAAAAGGGTACTCTTCTACATAGGCGGAGTAAAAAAAAAAAAAAATGGCAATATGCTTTGTCAAAATCTAGTAAAATGAAACTTTTCAGCCCCAACCAGTGAATTAGAACACTAGCTAGGGCATGGCCAAATACTGACTTCTGGGAAGATACTGGTTAGGAGACTGTTTACACTGGGAGCACAGGAATTTCCTTGTGTTTCTACAGTTACAGTTGTCTTTTGTTAGGTTTCATATTCCAAGAGTTAATAATAACAAGAGTTTTATTAAACCTGCCAATAACAAGTGCTTTAAAGGATCAGATATTGCCAAATGTTAATATCTTTTATACCTTGGGGTACAAGTTGGGTGTCAGTTATATGAGTCTCTGTTCATTTGGTATATTTGAATCTTCTCAAATTTCAAATATTTAAAAAGAGATCAATATATTACCCAGAAAGCTGTATCTCTCCTTATAGAATAAGGCTCTGAAAAAAATTAAGTTCTAGTTCATGGCCCAGAACATAGTAGAAATTGATTTGATCCACAGTACTAAGTGAGGAAATCCCTCAGAAGCTGTGACTGTGATCATAGGCTTAATATTCCACCTTCAAAGCTGCCAGCTGGGAAGCCGAATCTAGCAGCCCCCACCCCCTCCACTTTCGGGAGGAAAACCTTTGAATAAAGTCTAAAAGGAAGAGTGGGATTGCTTTGCTTTGTTTGTCTGCTCAAGGTCATCCCGAGGAGAGCTGGGGAGGAGAAAAATGCAGGAGGTCACAGGCTCTTTTTCTCCACCTGCCTCTAGCCCTGATTCTCTCAAATAAGAGAGAAGAAAGCTAAACTCTGTATGTGCTCAGTCACTTCAGTCGTGTCAGACTCTGTGCGACCCCATGGACTGTAGCCTGCCAGGCTCCTCTGTCCATGGGATTCTCCAGGCAAGAATACCCAAGTGGACTGCCATGCCCTCCTCCAGGGGATCTTCCCAGTCCAGGGACTGAACCTGTGTCTCTTATGCCCTATGAATTGCAGGCAGATTCTTTACTGCTGAGCCACCAGGAAAGCCCCAAGCTAAACTCTAATGGAACCATTTTCATAAGGGACACTCTAGGGCCCAAAACATCACCTGTACTGCTTGGGAACCCCAAGTTTGGAGAAGAGTATTCTGCTTGCTCCAGCATGGAGTGCAGAATCCCACTTGTTAGATTTAAGAGTTAGAGTTTTTGCAGGAACAACAATGTTGTGGATGTGGCATTATTAGAAGAGGCAGAAACAAGAGACTGGAATAGAAAATATCATCCATTTTCCAAGGAGGAAAAAAAAATGGTAGAGGAACAGATGTGAAAGCTTTACTTTTCCAAAGAGGTGTTCAAAGGGAAATTTAACATTAATATTCCAATGACTTATTACAGTGCTCAAGCTGGTAAAACCTAGAACTTGAATCTATTCCATTTGATATTTATTTATTACATCAGACAGGACATCTATTTCTCTTACCGCAATTTAGCATTTTTCGGGTCTAACCCTTAAGAAAATTTTCCTCCATGCTCTGTTCCTAAGTGTATTCAGTACTTACTTATTTAGGGCTTGGTCAACTGCTACTGCACTTTAACCAACATACCTTTGCTCTCCACATTGCTGTTCTATTTTCTGTTTAAGTTTTATCCTCTTTTATTTTTGAAGTGATAAGACAGACAAACAAAAGTTTACAGGACAGTTTGGATTCCCAGGTGGCTCACTGGCAAAGAATCCACCTGCCAATGCAAAAGACACAGGAGACTCAGGTTTGATTCCTGGATTGCGAAAATCTCTTGGAGTAGGGAGGGCAAGGGAACCCACTCCAGTATTCTTGCCTGGAGAATCCCATGGACAGAGGATCCTGGTGGGCTACAGTCCACAGAGTAACAAATAGTCAGACATGACTGAAGTGACTAAGCATGCACGTATGCACCAGTATTCTTGCCTGTAAAACCCCATGAATAGGGGAGCCTGGCAGGTTGCCGTCCACAGGGTCGCAAAGACTCAGATATGACTCAGTGACTGAATAAACACACATGATCCATCATGACAAACTGGAGATGTTATTTTAACTATGAATTCTTTCAGCACTTTAACAGGACCTGAAACATGATATACTCTCAAAGTAATACTGCGATCGAAAAAGCCTGAAAGTACTTCCAATATGACATCAATTCTGCTTCCCACTAACTAGGACAAAACACAGCACTGCCTTTGTGAGTCACACATTCTATATTAACAGAATTTCTGATATGGGATTATATAAATAGAAGCTTCTTTCTAATTTCTGAATTACATCCAAAAGTGTAGACACCACTTTATTGTTATTTATCATAAATTGTGAATTACTCCTTCATAGCTCATGTCCTGAAAGGGTGATCAAAGTTGGAAATAAATTCTTAAATTCTCCCTGTACTTTTGCATGCAGAGTGCACACTAGGCCACAGAATGACATTCCAGGAGTAATGAAATCAGAGTTAAGTACACATATAAAAATCAAGGTCGCCTCGTTCTACTGTTGATGGAGATCCTAAACCAGAGGTGAGGAAGATCTAGACTGAATCCTCCTGAGAGACTTCAGCAGCAAAATTTCGGAGCACAGGGTGAGTCAATAAAATGAATGAAAAGTTGTACTAAAGATGCAAATAGGATTGCTGACAATCAT